TAGGGAGGGGTGGTTTTGCTGAGTCATCCATCCAAACCTCTGGCTGATATGAGTCTCATGTTGATCACACCATTCAATCTGAAGCAATGGAACATTCCTTGGTGAGGGCTGCCCCCTCCCAACTTCTTCCTCCAGACTCTCAGGTTGCGAGGTTTCAAGTGTGCTGGGTGACCACAGCCCAGGAGGGCCTGAGACCTCCGAGTGCTGGCAGCCTTCACTCTTTGACCCAGGATGGTCACATACACCTGTTGGCTGTTTCTTTCTGGGAGCTACCTGGGGGCCTAGTCTCTGCCCTGACCCCAGACCACAGTTGTCCTGGCTGGCCCATGAGAAGTGTAAACAAACAGGGCTGGCCTTCTGGATTCCAGGAAGTACAAGTTAGTACACAAATCCCTCTGGCCACCTTGCCTCTGCTCAGCTGCCAGGGGCTGGGCTACTGCCCTCCTCCAGCACCTTTGGTGCACCCTCATTTTGTCTATTTTTATTTTTATTTTAAATCTTTATTTATTTTATGTGTATGCGTGTATTGCCTGCATGTAGGTAAGTGCACCCGCATTGTGCAATGCCCATGGAGGTCAGAAGGGGCTGTCAGATCCCCTGGGACTGGAGTTATGGACAGTTGTTAGCGGCCATGTGGGTGCTGGGATTCGAACCTGGGATCTTCTGCAAGAACAACCAGTGTTCTTAACTGCTGAGCCATCTCTCCAGTCCCTTATTTTTATTTTTTAATACTTTATTATTTTCATTTTATGTGTATGAGTGTATTGCCTACATGGATGTAAGTGCACCTGTGTTGTGCAATGCCCGAGGTCAGAAGAAAGCACTGGATCCCCTGGAACTGGAGTCAGCTGCCATGTGGGTATTGGGAACCAGACCCAGGTCCTCTGCAAGAGCAGCCAGGGCTCCTAACTGCTGAGCCATCTCTCCAGGCCCCTTGTCTACTTTAGAAGACTGTTAGGATGTTAGAATCCAGCCCAGAAGGCCGCTCAGGCCACCATACCAACAGCAGACACTGAAGGCAGTGGTTTTTAAGGGCGTTGTCTGGAGTCTTTGCTAACAGGCTTCCAGATGCCAGGATCTCTCACCTGGGAGTGAGTTTACATAAAGGGGGTACTGGTGGCCACACATCCTGCTCCCTATCCACTTCTGTCTCCTGCCTGGGAATCACAGTGCCTGGGCCCCATCCTCAAAAAAGTTATGAGACCCTCCCACTTCTGCCACATGGGCTCTGATTCCTCCTTCAGGTCCTTCGCCTTGGTGCTGGAGCCTCTCTCCTCAAAGCCCCCACCGTGCATACTGTTAGTTAATTAATTCTTCTAATAAACTCCTTACCCCCAATGATCCATCTCAGTGTCCCTCTTTTAAAAAAAAATTATTTATTGTTTTCATTTTATGTGTATGAATGTATTGCCTGCATGTATGTGGCCCCTGTACGTACCTGTGTCTTACAGTGCCCTTGGGGGTCAGAAGAGGGCATAAGATCCCCTGGAACTGGAGTTAGGACAGTTGTTAGCCACCATGTGGGTGCTGGGAATCAAACCCAGGTCCTCTGCAAGAGCAGTCAGTACTCTTAACTGCTGAGCTATCTCTCCAGCCCCTCAGTGTCCCTCTTGAACCTGCATCCAAGAGCTTTAATACTTCATACCCACAAGCATGCAGAGCTTGGCCATACTGCAGTCCAGGGAGCCATGTAGCAAATGAAGAAACTGAGGCTCAGAAGGGCCAGAATGCAGGGTCTATAATTGTCCAGGAGCCCAAGGCCCACACGTTTCTGTTTCAAGATGTATTCAAATGACATGTTCTAGATTCAGAAGGGTACATAATGTTTCATGGTAGCTGAGGAGAAGGGAAGAATGGTTGGGGCTACCTACCCACTGCTACAGACCCATGGACCCCCAGGCAGGCCTGCCCTAGAATGGATGTCACCCAGAGGACAGGCCCCAGGCCCTGAGAATCCTGGGCCCCATGCCCAGCCTGGACATGGATGGATGTCTTGCCTCCAGCACTGTGGGCCCTGCTCCTCCTTGTCCCTCTTCCAGTCTCATGGGACTTTTTTTTTTTTTCTTGAGATAGGATCTCATGTAGTCTAGGCTGGCCTCAAGCTTATCATGTAGCAGAGGATGACCTTGAACTTCTGATCATCCTGTTTCAACCCTGCTAGTGCTGGGATTACAAGAATGCGCCACAATGTCTGGTTTTATGCAGTTCTGGGCATAGAAACCAAAGCTTTTCGCATCCTAGACAAGCACTCTACCCACCAGACTACAATCACTCCCTCAAGTTGCCCCCTTGGCTGCCTCCTCTTTCTCCTCATCTTCTCCTTCTTCTTTCCTTGTGTTGAGGATGGAATCCAGGGCCTCACAAATGCTAGGCAATTGCTCTATGACTCATTTACATGTCAGGTCCCGGACCAGGCAGGCATTTCACTACATAATCATACACAGCCAATCCTATGTGCTTGATGGCCCTCTCACCCAGCAACAGATGAGTCAGCATCCACATGGTGTTCTGATTGGGCAAAGGCCCAGGCTCCCTGGATAAAGCACTCTCCTTATTTCTTTCTGCCCAAGTCTAATTTGGAGGCTCACACAGCCCATCTGCCAGTCAGCTCCACCTCACCCAGCTGCCCTTAGGTTATATCATTCTAGAAAGCTCTCACTTGAATCCCCTGAGCAGAAGCCCTGCCTCCAGGGGCTGAAATTTGGAGAGCTTCTCACTCTGGGTCAGCAGTATTTTCCTTCAGCACTGTACAAAAACCCAGGTATGGATGTATGTGGTTAATAATGAAAAGGGCGGCTGTAGAGACAGCTCAGTGGTTAGGAGCACTGGCTTGCAGAGGACCTGGGTTCAGTTCCCAGCACCCACATGACAGCTAACAACTGTCCTTAACTCTGGCTCCAGGGGATCTGATGCCCTCTTTTGACCTCCAGACACTGCATACACATGGTGCAGTTATATACATGCCTGCAAAACACTCATACACATATTTTTTTTTCCTTTGGTCTTTTTGAAACAGGGTCTCCCTGTAGCCCCAGCCTGCCTGGAACTCACTATATAGACCAGGCTGGCCTTGAACTCGCGGAGATCCGCCTGCCTCTGCCTCTGCCTCCCAAGTGCTGGGACTACAGGCGTGTGCCACCACACCCGGATATAAAATAGTTTAAAAAAATATTTCATTTACTATTTTTATTTTATGCATGAGTGTTATGCCTGATGTAGGTTAAGTGCACCCATGTGTGCAATACCCGCAGAGGACAGAAGTTGTCGGATCCCCTAGAACTGGAGTTATGGACAGTTGTTAGCTGCCACGTGGATGCTGGGATTTGAACCCTGGTGTTCTGCAAGAACAGTCAGTGTTCTTAACCGCAGAGCCATCTCTCCAGCCCTAAAATAATTTTTAAAAAATCTTTTAAGAAATAATGAAAAAGGAGGCTGGAGCTATGTAAGGAAACTATGAGTACCTTAGGGAAGGCAGAGGCCCAATAAGAAACGGTTTTATTTTTTTGTTTTTGTTTTTTGAGACAGGGCTCCCTGCAGCCCCAGCTGGCCTGAAACTATGTAGACCAGGCTGGCCTTGAACTCAGAGATCCACCTGCCTCTGTCTCTCGAGTGCTGGGACTAAAGGTGTAGGCCACCACACCTGGTGGAATTGGTATTTTTAAAAAAAAGATTTTTGTTTCAAAAACTTATTTTTAAAAATTTTATTTTTTATGTGTATGTGTGTATTGTCTGCATGTAGGTAAGTGCACCCATGTGGTGCAATGCCCACGGAGGTCAGTAGAGGCTGTCGGATCCCCTGGGACCTCAGTTAGAAACAGTTGTTAGCTTCCATGTAGGTGCTGGGATTCGAACCCGCATCTTCTGCAAGAACAACCAGTGTTCTTAACTGCTGAGCCATTTCTCCAGCCCCAACATACTATATTTTTATTTTTGAAAAATATTTTCAAAAGGAACGTTAAGTCGGGCTTGATGGCGCACGTCTTTAATCCCAGCACTTGGGCGGGAGAGGCAGGCGGATCCTTGGGAGTTCAAGACCTACATAGTCTACATAGTGAGTTCCAGGACAGCTGGGGCTACAGGACAGCTGGGTCTACATAGTGAGTTCCAGGACAGCTGAGGCTACAGGACAGCTGGGTCTACATAGTGAGTTCCAGGACAGCTGGGGCTACAGGGAAACCCTGTCTCAAAAAGACTAAAAGAAAAAAAAAAAAAAAAAAAAAAAAGGAACGTTAAAAAAAAAATTAACCATGTGCACAGTTCTGTGTTTGTGTGGCCATGTGCATATAAGTGCAGGTGCTTGCAAAAGCCTGAGGCATTGGCCTTTCCCAGGAGCTGGAGTCACAGGCAGTTGGGAGCCACCTGACATGGTTGCTGGGAACTGAACTCAGGTCCTCTGGAAAAGCAGCAAGCGCTCAACCAGTGAGCCAAGACCCATTTCTTTTTTTTTTAATTCCTTTTTTTACCTGGCTTGGATCTTTCAGCGATTCACCCGCCTCTGCCTCCTGAGTGCATGGATTAAAGGTGTGTGCCACCAGGCCTGGCACTTTAAGATTAAAAAATATATATTTTTATGTGCTTGACTCTTTTGCCTACATGTAAGTGCACCACAGGAAGTGCAGTGCCTTCGAAGGGCAGAAGAGGACACTGAGTCCTATGGAACTGAAGTTACAGATGGTTGTCAGCTGGGTCCTCTACAAGAACAAGTGCTCTTTTTTAAAAATTTCTAAATATTTTATGTATTATTTTTAAATTTTATGTGTATGAGTGTATTTTACATGGATGTAAGTGCAGCCATGTTGTGCAATGTGTGTAGAGGTCAAAGAGGGTGTTGGATCCCCTAGAACTGGAGTTATGGACAATTGTTAGCTACCATGTGGGTGCTGAGAACTGAACCTGGGTCCTCTGCAAGAGCAGCTAGTGCTCTTAACTGCTGAGCCATCTCTCCAGTCCCAAGAGAGCAAGTGCTTTTACTGCTGAGCCATCTCTCCAGCCTCTCATTTGAAAACACGGGATGTATCAGGAGTTTACATGTCATTCTTGTGCAGAAGCCCATCTTCTCTGTACCATTTCAATTTTAGTGTCTATACTGCTGAAGCCAGCAGTCAATATATTAACTCCTAAAGAAGAGAATGCTACTTCCCCAGAGCACCACCCCCGACTTGTGCCAGCAACAGAAGCAATTACCTACACTGTTTCCAGAGCCTGGCACAGAGCAGGTGCTGAGAGACGATAAATAATCCCAGGCAAAATTCTCCACTGATGAGGAAGAGAAGAGCCTCCCTTACTGTCCCAGGTAGGGGGCTGGAGGTGGTGACAGAGCACAGTAGTCCTGCCTTTGATGTGGAACTTTGCCTCTTACCAGGTATGGCCTTGGAGTACCTCCATCCCCTACTCCAGCCTATCCTTTCATGAGGATAACACTCATCAAAGAAAATACTCGCTTAAAGCAGCACATATGAACATTGATGACAACCATTGCCATCAAACTTTGCTGTGAGGCCATGACAGGTCTCTTGGGACCTGGCAGCTCTTGAGGAGCCTGTTGTTGGGGACATGAGCTGTTGGGGGCATGTGTAGGATTCCTAGGTCACCTACTCACCCAATAGAGCCTCACACCAGCCACCACAGAAAACATTGCTTTATTAATTGCGTTTGCCAACACACGAGGAGTGCAGAAGGCTCCTTAGACACAGGCCCTTGTGACGGCCGGAGTCCAACAGCCCCAGTGAGTAAGCAGAATGGGACAGGATTGGGAGTTAATGTAGCAGCAGCAACACAATCATGCAGGGCACAGCGGGCACTGGCCGCTCAGAGGCGACCGTACATTCTATTGCTTGTTAAGGGTTGCAAACAAGGACAATATACAAAAAGGAGAAATAGGTCTTTGCGGTAATGAAAAATACATTTTTTTCTCTACAAAGGAATTTTTTCTAATACAAGAAAATAAATATTGCAACATAAGCCAAAAATAATTTAAAATTGCTCTTTTCAATATATTTTCAATATTTCTCTTGTATATTAACAAATGGCACATCACTTTCTTTGAAACAAAGACAGAAGGTGTCTCCTCCTGTGACATTCATATCACCCCCCCTGCAACCACCACCCCTAAAATGATCTGGAGCACAAAGTGCTCACCTGTGAGGAAAGGTGGCAGGAAGTCTTAAAGAACAACCAAAGGTCCCCAGTTCCAACCCTGGTTCTTTGGGCACAGAAGTGACCTCCTCCAGGGTCTTACTACAGTGCTCACGGATCATTCTGCAGAGCGTCAGGCATGGGCACAGGCTGGCCACATCTGGCAAGAAGCAAGGAAATGCCAAGTCCACCCAGTCTACCTGCTGCCAATGTTCTTGAAAAATCAGGCAGTTGAATCTCTAGAAACCACCCCAGCAAGAAGTCCCATTGTGTATCTGTGCATGTGCATGCGCACGCGCGCAAGACAACCCCTATGCCTGGAAACCCCTGGCAGCTTCTAAGGAACCTGAGGCCATTACATTGCAAAGATCCACACTGTTCACATAGTCAGAGATCACTTAATAAAATAAACGAGCACCCTATCTCTCTCTTTACTTGTTCCAAAATACATTTATGATACATAAAAATACTTTCCTTGCACATTAGCCTGTGTCATGTGATGAGGGAATGAGGTGGACGACAGCCAGGACTGGTGCCAATGGAGGACAACAGCCAGAATGGATTACAGAGCAGTGTCTGCCTCCCTAGGGAGGGGCAGTGGATGTGGGCAAGATCGAGGTCTGCCTCTGGTCTGAAATAGGTTGGGGAGGGGGCGGTGACAAAGCTGTCTACATTGCGGACAGTGGCCTGGGAGGCACTCTGGGGCTGTGGCTAATGGGGGAGGAGGCCTGGGGGCTGTTGGGGGCAGGGAGGAGAGCCTGGCATCCTCATACTCCCTGCAGCCTGATGGACAACCTAGAGGTGGACATGGACGCCTGATGGACTGCTCTAGGGCCTGGCCTAGTGAAAAGGCCTGCCAGCCAGGCTGTCCAGACACCTGGGCTTTGTGGCATGCAGACCCTGAAGGATTAGTTTAGTTCAAACCAGAAGCCAGCAACCAAGAGATGCCAGAACCCAGAGGCCAAAGCAAGCAGAGGCTCTCTAATGTATGCTAGCCTTGCCCATCTGCCTGCCCAGACCAGGCCCTGGACAAAGGACAGGATCCCCTATACTCACCCTTAACCTCTACCCACAGAGCCTACCGCCTACCCCAAGGTGGAATGGAGGTGTCAGGGTCACACCTACCCCTACCTCTCAGCATTTGGTTGTTCTTTAAGCCCCTCTGCCCTTTGCTCCCCGCAGGGTCAGACCAGGCAATCTAGCGGATGAGGTTGCCATCACAAGTGACCCAAGCACAGGGGGAAGGAAGGTCTATAATAAAGGCAGTAAACAGAGACTGGGGTGGGGATGCTGATGCTGACACTGCACTGTCACTATTATCAAGGCAGCAGGCAGACTAGTCTAGACGGTAGCTGATGCCATCCCGACGCCAGGATCCTTAGAGCCCACCCCACACCCGCTGAGTCCATCTGGATTAGACATGTTCATCCGATCCACTGAACCGAAATCATTATCTTTGTTTCTAAGTTTTGCTCAAACTCACATGAAATTGAGTGTGGGCAACAATGCCACCATCGTACCTTGATAGTTTTGGAGTCGAGGTGGGTGAAGTTCTCGTGCATTTTGCTCTTTGTGTATTTGCGTGGTATGTGTGTGGGAGAACCACACTGGTTTCACAGTCAGGATTTCCCCCCCACACCGGGGGGGGGTGTCCTCAGAGTTTAGGACCACTCACAGCAGCCCAGCCCAGGGACTGAAAACCAACAGCAGCAGCAACAGCAGCATGTAAGCCTCCTCCGAGGCCTCGGGCCCTCCTCTGTGGGTGTGCGCGATAACCATGTCTCTGAACTTGGTTGCTAAGGAACTCCATTGAGAGGAAGTCCAAGTTGACAGTTGTCAGGTCCGGGCTGTGCTGTGTATTATGGTCAAAATATTCTTTGGCATCCTTAGAATGATTCGACTGGTTCACTGGACTTTTGCAAGGTTCTAGTTGGAGAAGTTCTGGCTTTACCAGTGGTGGAAGTGACCCAGGAGTAATTCGTAAAAGAAAAAAGACAAGTTTTCACGGTATCCCTTTGTTCCCTGAGCTATCACCCTGGGGCCACTCCATTAAGTCTTCAGAACTAGGGGTGGGGGTGTTGGGAAAAGGGGGAGTCAAAGGGTGGGGAAAGGGGTGTAGGAGGGAGGGAAAGGGGGTTAAGGCGCCAAGGGGCAGGAATATAGGAACATCCAGCAAGACTTCAACCAGCCCCAGCAGGCCAACATTGGCCTGCCCTGGGCCCCGGGATCCCACTACTTGTTGGAAGGAGGTGTTTCCCAAAGGAAACCTAGGAAGAAGCTCATCTCATAGCAGGACTAGGAAACTTGAAAAGGCAAACGGTCTGGTCTGGCCAGCTCCACGAGGAGCGAGCAGACTTTAGTGGAGACTGGCCCCAAAGGAAGAAGGGAAGTTGGAGCCCCAGGGTGTTCTCTGCAGTGGGCTGGTCTGAGCCCCAAGCCCCGGGCTGGGCACTGGCCCTCCCTTGGAGCCTTCCACTGTACTGGTGGCCGGCTATCTGGGGAGTCCCCTGAGTAAATGGCACAGCTCAGGAAGGATTCTGGGAACCCCTTCCCAGAGCCATTTGGGCTGGGCACTGGCAGGGGCAGAGCAGAAAGGGAGGGGGGTGGTGGGCGGGCAGGCAGGCCTCAGATGATTTGGGCTGTTCAGGAGGCAGCAGCCCCCTGTACCCCCTCAGTGCTTTCTCATAAACTCTTTGTGCTTGTGACAGTGCGTAGACTCTGGCTGGGTATCACTTGTTACATACTTCCTTGGGGATCAGTGGAGTGCAGCAGGACCCCCCCAAAATGGGCCCCAGTGGGGGGGCAAGGCGGGGCAGGCCCTGGGATGGCCCATCTGCCATGAAATAATGCCCAAACGACAGTCTGTGTCATCCAGTGGCAGTGGGCAGGAATCCTAAGCTCTTCCTCACCTTGCCTACATCAAGCGAGAAGCCCAGTGATATCACCTGGGTCAGGACAGGGGTGGCACACAGGACCTGGCGTGGTCCCTGTAGCCAGAGCTGTGGGAGGAATCCTGATGTCCTAGGCCAGCACAGAGGAAAGACAACAGAGTGGAATTCAAAACTCTTTCTATATTAAAAATAAAACCACGACAGAGTGGTGGTCTGGGACACTCAGCAGTTGGAAATGGCAGTTGTGGTTGGGCTGAGGTCTTGTCGGGGACCATGGCAGGGCCTGGGTGAGTTAGGAGGCCAGTACCCCCATGCGAACCACCTCTTCTGTCCCTGCCTCCCTAGAGGCTCGCTGAACCCCACTGTCCTCTGCCTCTATATCTGAGTCGCTCATCTCCTCATCAGAGAAGTAGCCATCAGCCTCAGGGTCAAAGTGTATGTTGACCTTTGGTCGCTCAGCCCCAGCAGGTGGCAGTCCTGTCCCAGCATCAAACCTAGGACCTGGGAACCTCTGGGTGATCTTGCTCTCACGAGGTGGCCGAAGCCTGCCCAAGGGCTTGGGGCTCACTGTAGGGACAGGCACTTGGACATTAGAGTCGGAAGCCATTGGGTCTGTCTCATCTGGGGTCTCGGAGGCCAGTGGTGGAGAGCTTTCTGGGGCTGCTGGGACAGGACAGTCCCCAGCTGCAGGGCTGGATAGCAAATGAGAAGACGTCCTCCGTGCTGGCTTCCTGGGAGGTGGTCCTTGCCCACCCTTGCCACTGCCTGCATCCTGGCCCCAGGGCTTCTTGGGTGGCTTTTCGGGAGTGGTCCTTGCACCAGGCCCATCCTGAAGTGGGGGTGGTTTCTTCTTGGCCGGCAGACGAGCGCGGCCTCGGGCCTTCCTGGCAGGGTCACCAGGTCGCAGGGAGGGGTCCCGCATGAAGCTGAGTAGCGTCTCCTCATCCTGGAGAAGCTCCTCCGACAGCAGCCCAGGGGCAGGATCTTCTCGGTGCCCATTGTTCAAAGACCATTCGCTCATGGCCATGTCTTCTGCTGTGATCTGCACCGACTGTGCCAGCCAGCTATTGAAGAAGGTGCCATCGATGGGGAATGAGGTGGACAGACCTGACCAAGGGGGGAAAGAGCAGGCGAGTGAGAAGCCGGTAGCTGTGTGCCCCACCCTTTCAGGCAGCCCAACCCAACCCTCCCAGCACCCCGTGTGCCCACCCAGGCAAGCCATCTTGTTCTGTCCATGTCCCACTCTCAGCAATGCCAAAGAGCAAAGCCAGAACATAGCCCCTGCTATGGTGTCCTCCAAGACTGGTTTATAATTTGTGGAGTGCAAATGAAGCAGCTAATTCCTTGTTCAAACACTGTTAATAATTTCAAAGTGGCAAAAACAGAGAGGCCACCAGGGGGCGCTGCACACTTGCTGCCAGCTCCTCCAGGAGCTTGCGGGAACGCACTCTGTGTAAATAAAGGTCCCAGAAGGCCCCTACAGCTTCAGCTCTTGACCCTCCCCTCTTCTTTCCTGAGGTCTACTGAGACACCAACTATGTGGCTTGCTGGCCCTCTTCTAGGTGCTCCAGGAAGGTCTGCTTGGGCTGAGTAACTGCCCATTTGAAGGGATTCTGACAGAGTGGGACAGGGACGAATACTTCTTGCAGACCTTCCCCTCCCTGCATAGGGCTGGTTTCTAGAGACCTCTGGAAAAATCTAGCACTCAAGCCATTGGTCCAGGGCAGCTCCTAAACTGTTGGGGCCCAGCTAGAGATTCCAGCTAGAATCTCTTGGGATGTCAGGTAAGGCTAAGATACATCTACTCTGTGAGCACCTGGGTCGGCCTCTGAGGAGGAGGCTGTTTCCGCTCTGTGGAGCTAGTGGTCTTTGGATGAGGCTGAAAAGTGGGGCGGGGATGATGCCCGCAGGCTGGAGTGCAGGCTGGCGTGGCCCCTCACTCACCCAGCTGCCCCAGGACGGAGTCCGGCCCAGCCTTCATCTTCTCTTTCTTCTCTGGGCTGCTGCTCTTGGGACCCTCACGGCCTTTCCTCTTTGAATCACTCTTCTTGAACTTTGCTCTCCTCCCAGACCGCTCTGCATTAGGAAGTAAGGGGAAAGAGATGGTCAAACCTGGGTAGCTGCCTAGGGGGATCCGTACCAGCTGAGCTTGTCCTCCACACATGGCACCAAGACAGCAGGCAGCGAGGGGCCATAGGGGACAGTTAGGGGGAAGATGGAGGGGCAACTGCTTTTAGCCGCCCTTAAGGATCTTAGGGTATGCACAGAGTCATGAGAAGCCGTTGTAGGACCTGACTTCAGTGTGACCTATATAACCTACAGTCCTTGAGAGTCCTGATGGTGGGAAACACGGCCGGATGCCATATGAACGAGGCAGACCCTGAATTCAGGATAAAGAACTAGACACAGGGTGAAAAGAACACCACTGGACACAGGGTGAAAAGAACACCACCGGACGGACAAGAGGCTTGGGCTCTGGGACGGACACCACAGCCACCCAGTCTTCTGACTCAGCCTCCTGGTCTGCTTCTATGACCAGGCAAAAGATCAGAGACTCAGGTTGTATATCTGATTCTCATGTCCTTCAGTCCATGAACACTCAAGCAAGTCTACAGAGAAGGGGAGACGGCCCCCCAGCTTCTCCAGAGGCAGGAGGGCCTCTCAGAACAAGGTTAAAAAGAAAGTGGAGAGATGTGGTCTCAGCTGTGTTGTTAGTTCCCAGAGCCTCAAACTGGGCCTCGCTCTCCTCACCTGTAACACGAGCCCCACGCCTGATATTCTGGGTGTGCCCCAAGACCTTACACGATTCACCCTATGCTCTACAGCCTCATCTAAGCACCTTCTTCCCCGAGCTGCAGCCATGACAACGTCAGGCACAAGTTTCTTTTCTAAGACATGCCTGGCTTCTAGATTTCCAAATGTGCTGTTTGCTTGTCTTGTTTTCCTGGTTAGCTCAAAGGCCCAAGTACTACTACCTGCCCAGCCCCCAGAGCACACTGGCCTTGGCAACAGCTTAGAGTTACATCCCAGTTCAGGGGTGCCTGTGCGAAGCAACCTTCTGTGCAGATGCCCTGCCCTAAACACAGAGCTGCCTGTTGCTACTCAGGACCAAGCTGTAAAGCCGTCAGACTCAAGGTCAGAGCGCAGATCCTCTGGTTTGCAGGGTCCTATGAGGGCGCTACTCCCCGCCTCACTCGCTGCCCTCTGCCTCCCTGGCCTAAGTCATTTGTGTGGGCTTCTTCGGCAGATGACCATCATATCCCTGCACCAGTATGGACTGTGCACCCTGGGGTACCACTCTGCTTTCTCTCTCCAGAGGGCAAGCTCTGTGTGGGGCAAACACCTTGTCCCACTGTGCTCAGTGCTTGCAGGCGGCAGGGGAAGCTCTGGATGTTACAGAGCTGTCCGTCTGTGTGCATGTGAACTCCATGTGGTCATGACTTGTTCTACCCGTTCTACAGCCTAGCCCCTGTAACTGGCAATGCTAATCTTTCCTCCCTCCTCCCTTCCTTCCCCTTTCTCTTGTGGGGGACCATAGCAGGGCCTGGGTAGCTGCCCAGGGGGATCCGTACCAGCGGAGCTTGTCCTCTACACAAGCGGGGGAGGGGGAGGAGGAGGAGGAGTCACCTTGAACTTTGCTAGTTGCTACATAGCTGAGGATAACCTAAATATTATTTTTTGTGTGTATGAATGTATTGCTTGTGTGTATGTAGGTGTGCACATGCTGTCCAATGCCCATGGAGGGTCAGAAGAGGGTATCAGAATTGGTGTTACAAATGGTTATTAGCCACTATGTGGGCACTGGGAAATGAACCCAGCTCCTCTGCAAGAGCAGCCAGTGCTCTTAACCACTGAGCCACCTCTCCAGGTCCTGACCTAGAACTTCTGGTTCTTTTACTTCTACCTCCCAAGGGCTGGGACTACAGGCATACACTGCCACACCCTGTTTGATGCAGTGCTGGGGACTGAACTCAGGGCTTCATACACAACAAGCAAGCCCAGGCAAGCCCAAGGGCTCTATCAGCTGAGGCACATTCCCAGTTCCTTTAAAAAAAAAAAAAAAGAAAAAAAAAGCCGGGCGTGGTAGCGACACATGTAGTCCCAGCACTTAAAGTGGGAGGCAGAAGCAGGCGGATCTCTGTGAGTTCAAGGCCAACCTGGTCTACATAGTAAGTTCCAGGACAGCTGGGGCTACAGGGAGGCCTTGTCTCAAAAAGACCAAAAAAAGACACCATCACACCTGGCTTCAGTACTCGTGGCTGCAAAGTAACAGCTTAGATCTCGGCAGGGGTGGGAGCAGTCATCTGCTCTGATGGTGCCCAGTAACTCTCCTCCCTCTTCCCCACTCTAAGTCCAGAATGATCCATAGGCTGATTTGGCAGTGGCAGTCCATGGCTCTAAATCTCTCTGCCTATATTCAACATTCAAATGTTGTTTTTTTGGGGGGGGGGGGGGGTTAAGCACTGCTCTCCTTAACATGTTCATACTCCAGGCAATAGCCACAATTAATCAATATGATTTGTCCCGAGTTCCAGATCGGTTAAACACATATAACACATATAACTGCCAGAGAATAAAAGATAAAGCCGACCAAAGCCAGAATCCTTCCACATGGGACCAGAGAGGAGAAACACAGGCTTTGGCTGATCTCTGAGCAGCTACCTTCCTGAGACTGATCCCCAGGCACACCAGGGCTCAAGGAAGCTCACCAGTACCTGCCTGTCTTGTCTTAGACACAGCACAGAGCCAACAAGAACGAGGGCTCACACCTGTTCCCATGCAAACTAAGCAGCTCTTGAACTGGCTGGCCCAGGCAGGGAAGCATTGGTGCCTCTGAGGGCAGGCTTGAAAGCCACAGTCCAAACTCTGGCTCCTTGCCTACCAACACAGTCAGGGCCTTGGCAGGTCCCCATTTGGACCTAATAACTGCAATGGTGGTTCCCATGCAAACTAAGCAGCTCTTGAACTGGCTGGCCCAGGCAGGGAAGCAGTGGTGCCTCTGAGGGCAGGCTTGAAAGCCACAGTCCAAACTGGCTCCTTGCCTACCAACACAGTCAGGGCCTTGGCAGGTCCCCGTTTGGACCTAATAACTGCAATGGTGAGATTCCTAACCTGAGGAGATAGAAGAGACAGTTCAAATCCACCTCACTTATGAGCACTCACCTCACACTGGCCACCTTGAGGATCCTGTTGCTGGAGAAAGCAATGCTTTGAACACAGGCCACCGCTGCCCCAGACGCCTGAGAATTCATTTCTAGACAGGCAGGAGCATCCGTCGGCTCAGTCTGGCACTCCCCTTTCCCTCCCTGCTCTTTTTTCTGTACACACGTGGAGGTCAGAGGACAACTTACAGGAATTGGTTCTTTCCTTCCAGATGGGTCCTGGGGATCGAACTCAGGTTGTCTGGCTGGACAGCAAGCACCTTCACCTATAGAGCTATCTCACTGGCCCTTTTTGGCCTTGAACTCACAGAGATCTGCCTACCTCTGTCTCCGGTACCACCATGGCCCTTTTGAAAGAGTTTCAAGCCCAGGTAGCTGAAGATGACCTTGAAATTCTGATTCTTCTGCTTTTACTTCCAGTGATTACTGGCATGCAGCACCACACCCAGTTTACACAGCACTGCGTGGAACTCAGGGTTTCATTATGCTAGGCAAGCAGCCTACCCACTGAGCCATATCCCTAGACCTTTTTTTTTTTTTTTTAATATTTTACTAATTTTCATTTTATGTCTATGAGTATATTGCCTGTATGTGTGTAAGTGTACCTATGTTGTGCTTGTGGAGGTCAGAAGAGAGTGTCAGGAGGTCAGAAGAGTGTCAGATCCCCTGGAACTGGAGTTATGGACAGTTGTTAGCTGCCATGTGGGGGCTGGGAATCGAACACAGGTCCTCTGCAAGAGCAATCAGTGCTCTTAACTGCTGAGACATCTCTCCAGCCTCACATCCCTAGGTTTTAACTTCCATGCCAAGCCCACCTCAGAACCTCCCAAGGCTCTTCCAACATGGCTGCTCTCCTGAGTCCATAGTGCTTTGAGGCTTGGGCGGCGGCAGTCTCTCCAGGTCATGAAGTTCAACTCCTCTTTGCCTCCTGTTCAAGGCCTGCCTTTCCCAGCAAAGCAACTCTGTAGACATAATCACCATGGTAAAACCCAACATTTGTCCCAAGGCATCTACGGTCCCAAGTCTACCTGCTGTCCAGTGACCTGGAACAGGCCCCTGCTTCTCTGGCCAATACTCTCACAGCTACAAGAGAGCCCCTTACTTTATAAAGGATAGTACCCTTAGGCCAGCTGATTAAGAGCACCTAAGAGCAGCCCTTGAAGTCATCCTGCTTATTAGTCCACATTCTTCAGGTGGTCTTGATGCACTAGTCCACATTCTTCAGGTGGTCTTGATGCACTGCCTACCCTCCAGCTCCCTCACTGGCTGTTCCTCTCTCACACTCCTGGGTCTGAGGCCAGGCCTCTTCTCTTGGTCTGGCATGACTTTCAGTTCAGGATGGAGCCTCCAGAAACAGGGACAGTGGCACCAACATTGGAAGGTTTGCAAGGCTTCTTAGATAGCTAAGCCCAGCAGGAGGCCTATCAGGCCTTGTGGCTGGCGGAGGGGAGTTGTGGAGGGATTATAGCTGAAGCCTGGAGTCACCTCCATGATCTTTTCTCTTGGTCTGTACCCACAACTGACCCATCAGTTCATCTGTATCAGTCATTCCTTATGACTGTGACACTGGCACCCTCTACAGCCTGGTCCACAAGCCCATGCCCAAGACCCCAAAACTCTCACAAGGACAATAAGCCATTAAGATTCCATCCTTCAGCAATGCTCTTGAAATGCAAATCAGACCCTCTGGGAGGCCAATACCTTCTAGGGCCTCTATAAGGGTTGAATGGTATTCCCCCAAGATTTCCTGCTGGGAACCTCAGAATGGGACTGAGTGGATATAATTAGCTAAGATGAGGTCATCCTGGATTGGGGTGAGCCCTTGATCCAGTGTGACTGGTGTCCTTATAAAAGGCAACATGAAGACAGAAGGACAGCAGAAGCAGAGACCACAGTGATGTGTCCACAAGCCAAGTGCGGTCAAGGATTTTTGGCATCGCCCAAAAGCTTGCAAAGAGGCACAGAACAGATCTCCCTCAGCATCTCCACAAGGAACCAACCCTATCAGCACTGACTTTGGGCATCTGGACTCCAGGAGGGAAAATCTTGTAGTTCCAAGCTCTCTAGGTGGTATCGTGTAAGGCCAGTCCCAGAACATCAAACAGCTTCCTTAAAAAAAAAATTGGCCAGGTGTGGTGGTACACACCTTTAATTCCAGCACTCAGGAGGCAGGGGCAGGTGGATCTCTGTGAGTTCTAAGCCAGCTGGGGCTACAGGGAGACCCTGTCTCAAAAGACAAAAACAAATTAATGTGTGAATGTGTATGTTTTCTGCATGTACGAACGTGCAGGAGTTGGTTCTCTCCTTCTGCCACATGGGTCCTGAGGATGGAATTCAGGTCATCAGGCTTGGCAGCAAATGCTTTAACCTGCTGAGCCATCTTACCAGTCCCTCTATGAATAAGTGTGGCCACTTAAATATCTTGGAGGAGCTGGGCACACCTTTAAACCCAGCACTTAGTAGGCAGAGACAGGTGGGTGGGTCCCTGTGAGCTGGAGGCCAGCCTGGTCTATATATCAAGTCCCAGGCTAGACAAGGCCATGCAGTGAAACTCTGTCTTGAAAATAAATAAGTGACTGGAGCAATAGCTATTCAGTAAGAGCACTGGCTGCTCTTGCAGAGGACCTGGGTTCAGTTCCTAGCACCCACATGGTAGGTAATAACCATCTGTAACTCTAGCTCCAGGGGATCCAAATGCCTTCTTCTGCCCTGCACAGGCACTTCATGCACGGGTACACTTACATACATGCAGAGAGAATATTTATACACATTATATATATATATATATATATATATATATATATATATAAAATCAGTAATTTTAGAAAGACTTTTTATATGTAGCTGCATGTCTGTATGTGCACCATGTGCATGCAGTGCCCATAGGGGCCAGCAGAGGGCACCAGATACCCCTGGAACTGCAAGAACAACCAGTGCTCCTAACCACTGAGCTATCCCTCTAGCCATAAAACTTCCTTTTTAATCATGCAGCCAACAACCCATCCAGCTCACTTGGGGCCTGGGGTCTTGGTGGACATTCCCTGGGATGGAAAGGCTTTTCATTCACCTTCCCTTGGACCTGTTTCCTGTCTAGCAGTCATGGGTAAGGTTGTGACTGATTTATAGTGTTAGTCTTATGTAGATGTAACCCCGGCTCCATGTGTGGCTGAGTATGACTTGAACTCCTGATCCTCCTGCTTCCTGCTTCTGCCTCCCAGCTACTTAGGATTGCATTACATGCCCAGGTCTAAGCTTCAGTGGTGGTGGAGGGGAAACAGGGGGACCCCAATCTAGGGACAGAGGACAAGGAAGCAAGTGGCAAATGTTGGAAGAAGGCAGGGCCTGCTTCCCACTGACCCTTTCCCTCCTTGGGAGCAGCAGGGGCAAGGACTCACATACTCATGCCTGGACACATGTGTGACTGAGAGCTTCTGCCACCCTCTTGGCCCCAGATCAGGTCCAGTCAGCGTCTGGAATACATTCCAGTAGCAAGAACCACAGCCATGTCCCTGCAGGGCCCGACGACCAGTGTGGTTGCTAGGGGACATGAGCTAGCAGTTTGTAGGGCTGATATTCACTCCTGCAATTTTTCTGTCAGCCGTGAATAACTCTGGAAGCTGCAGTGGCCACGCCTGCCCGAGCTGCTTGCCAAGGCCCAGGCCTGCCGCTGGAATTTGTAGGAAAGAACATCTTCTGGGTTGGCTGTAAAATTGGATTTCATGTCTCTGGCAGTCCCGATCCTGCCTCTTTCAGTGAAGCCCCTGCCTGACTCATCAGGAAAGATACCCAGGTTGGCGCACCAAGCCTCCCTTGCAGCTCTATGGAACCCACCCTTGGGACACAAGGCTTGGCCTCTCTTCTAAGAGTTGAACTGTGGGCTATGGGAGAGGGCCAATGGGGAAAGACGCATAAAGATGATTAAGATGTTCTGTATGAAATACATAAAAATGCCATAAAAAGCTTTTTTGGTTTTTTTTTTTGGTCTTTTTGAGACAGGGTCTCCCTGTAGCCCCAGCTGTCCTGGAACTCACTATGTAGACCAGGCTGGCCTTGAACTCACAGAGATCTGTCTGCGTCTATCTCCCGAGTGCTGGGATTAAAGGCTAAAGGCATGCACCACCATGCCCGGCTGCCATAAAAAGTTTTTAAAAAAAGAGTTGAACTGCTTGTGGCCAGCAGTGACAACAGTCACAATATACAGTAGACTAGGTATAGGGGCTCATGGCTGTAATCCCAGTACTTAGAGAGTTAGACAGGAGAATTGCCATGAGTTTGAGGTAGGCCTGGTTTACAGAGTGAGTTCAAGGACAGCCTGAGCTACAGGGTGAGACCTTGTCTCAAAACAAATAACAATGGAGACCACTGTCCTTTTTGTGGCCCCCCAAGGTCAGCTGGATCCTTACTTCATTTCACAAAGAAACTGAAACAGGCATTAAGCTGGGGGTTAGGGCTCTTATCAGTCAGTACACGGCTAGACCACCCAAGGCCTCCAGTCCAGCCTGATCCCGTACCTTCCCTATGGATGCAGGCCCAAGCTGGTCTGGTGCCCAGTTACAGGCTGGATATTCTCAGCTCCTGGCCCTAAGCCATGGTTAGAGATTGGGCCTGCTGGCCAGGCCATTGCTATGATGGGGCTTTGCCCCTAAGTCTCCAATGTGCGCCTCTGAGAGGGCCTGAAGCTGGGCCACCAAAGGGATAGTAGACTTGGCTCGCTGCTATCTCTATGTTCTTCCTCTTCAGCCCTCCAGCCCGGCCCTGAGGCTGTTGGGAAGTAGAGTTTAGAAAGGTCCCCTGAGCCCTGAGAAGCTTCCTAAGAGTTCTAAGTCAGCCCTGACACATCTTTCTGGATGCTCAGATAGATGTCACCTGCCCTTGGAGGGGGTCTGTGGCTTGCCCTGAGTCCTTGGAGCCTACCCAGTCAGCCCTGGCCAGCCTTAGATGGTAGCCCCTGTACCAGCTGACACTAGGACTGGAGGACAGGGGACACATTTGCTCAGGAAATTTACAGACTAAATAAACAGCCAATATATTACCTTTCCTGATCCTAGTTCAAGTCCAAAATCAAGCTCTAACCCTAGGAAACAAGTTCCTCTAAGACTTCCTATCCATTTCATCCCTCTGAGCCCAATCAGATTACACCTGCTTCTTGGGGCAGGGGAGGTCCTCCTCACTTTTCCCTTCACAGGAAGTCAGTCAACTGCGGGCCAGATAGAGGGCTGACCAGCCTGGACCACAAGGTTACAGTGATGTGTCATCTGAGAAACAACAGGAGGAACAGCAATTTGCATTGGAGAACTGGGGTGGGGACTTGGGAGTGGCCTCAGGGCAACTCGGGAAGCAGTTGCGGTCTCTGGGAGTTTGTCCTTAACACCTCTGCCCCTTATGAAGGGAGGCTGGACTGCCCAGGAAGCTGTGGCTACAGTGCAGTCATCTGTCCTGTCTTGGCCGGAACCAGGGACATGTGATTTTCACACCTCCCTTCCTTCTGACCTGGTGACAGGCTAGTGGCTATCAGGCAGCAAGTTGTCTCTCAGGCCACCAGGGTCATTTTTCCCTCTTGCCTGGGCCCCAGGGCAGATGAGTGGAGCAAGGAGAATAGGGAAGCTGGAAACCGTCACTGCTCCCTCCACAGCACACCATCAGCTGGGAGGCCCCACCCATTTTACAGACTGGCTCATTGAGGTACAGATGAGAAAAAGAGCCAACAACAAAGTCCCCCAGAGGTTTCCACTCAGAACTATCTCCTAACAGGGGACTGGAGAGGTGACAAGCTGCCTGGGTCCACGGAGGACACTGTGACACGATTCTACGATTTGTTGGAGCCATACCACTTAATTTCAAGAAAGGAAAAGTCAGAGCAGGCCTTTGGGCTCAGACCCAGGCATAGCGCTACTAGTTCTAGGGACCAAGCCATACACATCCTGCCTCCCAGAAGTGTCTGCAGCCTACCCACCCAGGCCAGCCCCGGAACACCTCTGTGGTGGAATGTCTGAAGTTGTGTGTCACTCACCCCCGACCCCTCATCCCCGTCTCTGCCAGGCATCCCATGGGAGCCACATTCACCCCTATCTACCTAATTCTGTCTGGCACGATTCTGCCCGGCAACTAGACAATTCCTGTTCTTCATACCCCAGAACAGTGGCATCTTGGGAAACACTGGCTACTTCCCTGAATCAGATTGTGAACAGAATCTCCTTTATTAGAATCAGGCATCATCCACAGAGGTCAGAAGTGGGACCACAGGCAATGAGATGTTAGGATCCATTCTTCCTGAGTCCTGGCTGCCCCAGGGCAGGGGGCACAGAGAGAGGCGTGTGGCCTCTGTGGACGGCCCACTTGCACTACTCACCCTCTCCAGATCCTGCCGCAGGTGGGTGAAGAGCTTCAGGCGGCGGTAGAGAACATCCTGTTCCTGCTGGGCCAGGTTGTCCACCTCGTCGGTCTTGGGCGTCAGCAGCGGCTGGTTAGCATTGGCTTTCCTCTTCAGCTTCCAGTATTGGTAGATGAAGTCCACCAGTGCCTCGGCCAGGTCCAGTCTCTCGGCCACCTCGGCTGGTTCCACCAGCTCGTAGAAATCTTCTTCTAGTTGCTGCAGCCGCTGCTTGCGTAGGGTCACCTTTTCCAGGTCCTCACCGGCCTGGCTGGGCTCCACAGGCTCCGAAGTTGGGTCACTCCTAGGGCCCCCATCGCTGTGCTCCTGGCAGAATGACTTGAACTTGACCTCATCATTGTCTGCTAATATAGTCCGCATTTCCAGGCTGTGGTCAAAGGCGCATGTGACGTGGAATGCTGTGACGCAGGAAGGCATGGAACACTAGGGAGAGTGGAAGAGCAGTGTCAGGTACTAAAGGAGCCCCAGGAAGGAGGATGCAGGGGTTCCCTCAGAGAACCACTAAGCAGGCATAATGCTGAGGAGACCTTACACAAAAGAGCATAGGTGTCAACATCCCACAGTGTGGAGGGAGGTAAGGCAGGAGGGACCAAAGAGTCCCAAGGGGACCTGGAAAGGAACGGGAATGAGTCTCAGACACCCCAAAGGAGCCAACAATCAGGTGACTATGCAACTCTCCTGGGTTGACGAGCGATATTATCCTGTGGGCAAAATGACTTTGGGATTAGAAGGCACACAGAAAAAGGGCTGATGATGGGTCACAGAAACAAAGCAGGGGTCTTTGTTCCCTCTTCGCCCACAGGGAGGAGGGGCAGATAGGACCCTGCCTACTCTTAGCCAAGCAGCTGGAGGCAGATCCATTCCTCTTGTCCACGGATGGGGACTGGAGAGCTGGAACTAGTTCAACAACAGGGTACCACTGCAGGAGCATCCACAGGCTTTTCTCAACCCTGATACATGGGTTGAGATGATAAATGGGACTTGGCAAAGGCACAATTTGCAGGGACAACTGTTCTTGGCACAATGAGAGAGATGTCAATACAATGAAAGGATGTCTGTCCTCCACCCCCAAACTATAGCCCATGAAGCATCAGCACCACCCTGGGACTTTGTTAGAAAAGCAAATTCTTAGTTCTCCTCTACACGTGCACCAGAACTATGAAGCAAGCTTGCGTGTGTTTCTCAACCCTCAGGGGTGATCCTAATGATCGATAAAATGGGAGGCACCATCACAGGCAGACTAGTGTTCTCCTGTCCTGACTCAGGAAGGACCATTAGCTGAGCTGGAGAGGAATGAGCTCCATTCCTCCCACATGTCACAGGGTCAGTAAGAGACCAATGTATTGTCAAGTTCAAACATGCTTGCTCTTGGGAAAGCCAAGTTCTTAGCACTCTGTGGAGGGAGGGCCTGTCCCTGTGCCCTGGAGACTCAAGGATAAAAGAATATACCTTCCAAACACCGCCTCAGCCCAAGCCTCCCCAGCCCATTGGTGGTGATGCACGCTGCAGCAGTGGGTGGGTGGGTGCAGGTAGAAGTAATCACCAGTGATTGAGGTGCCCTCGGCATGCCTCTCTGGGCAGCAGGAAGCAGGCCACGTACCTGGATGCAGGTGCCCGTGCACTCCTTACAGAGGCTGCAGGACAGGGCCCAACGGCTGGCTGGAATATGTGAGATCTTGGTGATAGGCTCCATCTTCTCTGGGCAGCCAATGCTGACCTGGGCAGAACACAGGAAGCTGCATCAGTCCCCAAGTGGGAGGCTGTCTGCTGAAAACCAGGCAGTGAGCAGACAGAGCTGGAGCCCACACATCCCATGTCCTTCCTGACTCCAATCAAACAGGCAGAGCTTAATTTAAGGTCTGACTCCTTCTACCCTGGCCCAAGCCAAGTGTGTACTAAATGGACACTAGGCCCAGGATATGTGTGTGTGTGTGTGTGTGTGTGTGTGTGTGGTGTGTGTGTGTGTGTGTGGTGTGGGGTCATATCTGTGTATGATACATGTGTCTTTATGTGTGTGTGCACACGTTTCTGTGTGTGCACACATGTTTCTGTGTGTGAGCATGGGCTTGTCATGGCACACGGATAGCAGTCAGAGGACAAGCTCAGGTGTGGGTCCTTCCTTTACAGCTTTCTGAGACAGGGTCTAGAGAGAGAGAGAGAGAGAGAGAGAGAGAGAGAGAGAGAATGAGAACATGTAGCTGGCTAAGGGATGTGTTGGCCTGGGACCGTAAGCCTTGGAGCAAAAGTGCTTCTCTGTGTTAATAGTAGCTTCAAATTTTTTATTTTTATTTTTTTGAGACAGGGTCTCACTATGTACCCCTTGCTGGCCTGGAACTTCCTATGTAAGCCAGGCTGGCCTTGAACTCCAAGAGAGCTACCCGTCTCTGCTTCCCAAGTGCTGTAATTAAAGGCATGTGCTACCACACCTGGCCATCTTCAGAACTCGATGCGATTCATCTTTTTTTCTGTTTCTGAGTGACGTCTCCTTTTGCGGCTCTTCAGAGCTCTGCTGGCCAATGAGGATGTACCTTTGCTTAGCCTTACTTATGGAGACAGACCTGCCATTGTCCTTGAGACTATGAGCACCAGCCCTGGGAAGCAGGGCACCTTTGTCTGCCCACTAGTGCCCAAGTCGGAGGACAAAAGGACCCCTCTCCAAAGGGCTCCAATGGTGGGGTCTTTTTTTCTTTCTTGAAAAGATTTGATTATGTTTATTTATGTATGTGTGTGTGTGCACACATACACGTGCCCCACAACACAAGCGGGGAGGTTAGTGGACAATCTGCAGCATCTGTTTTCTCCTTTTCCCATGTTGATCCCAGGGGCTGAACTCAGGTTGTCAGGCTTGGAAGTAGGTGCCTTTACCTGCTGAGCTACCTTACAGGTCCCCACAGGGGGGTCCTTATTGGGTCAGTATGTCTCTGCTGTGCCCAGCAGAAGGGACACCAAGAGGCAGTCCCAGTCTTCAAGAACCTCTGGGTGGAACCAGGAAGGAAGGCCACAGCTTACAGTATCATCTAGCTTGTTTCCAGATAGCAGTGGAGAGGTGCCTCGATCTATAGCACACACAGCAGAGCTGGAACTGAAACTCTGGTGAATTTTTGCATCTTACATTAAAAAAAGAAAAACTAGGGGGCTGGAGAGATGGCTCAGTGGTCAAGAGCACTGGCTGCTCTTGCAGAAGACCTAGGTTTGATTCCCAGCACCCACATGGCGGCTAACTGTCTGTAACTCCAGATCCGGGGGATCTGACCCCCTCTTCTGACCTCCAAGGGCATTGTATGACATTGGTGCACTTACACACATGCAAACAATACACTCGTACACTTAAGATAAAAATAACAAAGTATTTTAAAACATAGATGGCCACTGTGGACCCAGCCTATTGGTACTCCCACCTGGCCCCACAAGTCTACCTCTATACCCCAACCACAACCATAGGAGCAAGCCCACTATCCAACACACAGCCTGTTCCCTTCCAGGTTAGCAGGATCATTTGTGTCTTTGTTTATCTGTTGGTTTTGTGACAGGGTCTCATATAGCCTAGGCAGCATCAAAACTTACTCTGTAGCTGATGACCCTGAATTCCTAATCCTCCTGCCTCTTCCTCCCATGTGCTGGGATTATAGGTATGTGCCACAGGCCTGGCTTTATTTGTGTTTTTAAAAATATTTTATTTATTATTTTTATTGTATGTGTATGAGTATATTGTCTGCATGTATGTAAGTGCACTCGCGTTGTTCAATGCCTGCAGATGTCAAAAGTGGGTTTCAGATTCCCTGGAACTGGAGTTATGGACAGTTGTTAGCCATCATGTGGGTGCTGGGACTCAAACCCAGGTCCTCTGCAAGAGTAGCCAGTGCTTTTGACTGCTGAGCCATCTCTCCAGTCCGTCATTTGTGCCTTAAATACACAGGTTGATTGATTCTGGTTTTAGCCATAGCCCTGTTTCAATGGATTCCATAATCTGTGGCTCCCACATCAGGCTGCTTGACTAATGTTTGAAGCTCAAACCCTTCTTCCTGAATTCCCCAATGGCCTGGTACCCCATTTCCCCATAGAAACTGTACCTGAACGATGCCCAAGTCCATAGGCAAGATTCCCCATGGGCAGGTTCCCCTATTTTTAGGCCCATTACCCTACATTTTCATGAGGGCCCAACAGGCTCTTCTTTCCCAGTTCTCTGCCACCTGAATTCTGCCAAGGCAGAGGCATTGAGCTCTCCACAGACCCAGTCTTCCATTCCCGGGATCTGTCACCTCCCATGCCTACCCACCTCAGGAATCCACAGGGCACAGCTGACATGCACCCACTTGGTCCCACTTCTGGTAGGCTTCAAGGCTCCTCCTCGCTTGGGGCAGAGCAGGCACTTGGGCTGGACTCCCAGGGCACATGTCCGGCACAGCCAGCTGCCTGTAGGCACCTTGAGGATTCCGTAGCATGCCTGACAATAGAGTAGGTGGTCATAGGTCAGGGGCACTGGCCAAATGGATGTGTCTGGTCAGCAGACAGGTGCCAATGATGCCAGCTCTGTCCTCAAGATACACTGAGCTACAGGGAGACTTCCTGGGGGTTCATATTTTCTAGTCCTCTAAGAAGGGACTTAGAGCTATTCTTTGCAGGGATACTTGCTTTAGCAAGAGGCTCCTAACCAGTACCAGCTTTAGGAAGAGGCTCAAACTGCTTCTTAAACTGAATACAAAATTGGCTCTTGGGGCTGGAGAGATAGCTCAGTGGTTAAGAGAACATACTACCCTTGCAGAGAACTGGGTTCAGTTCCTAGCACTCACATCAGGTGGTTGTAACTCCAGGACTAAGGGCTCTCTGAAGCCGCTGTCCTCTGAGGACAATGGCACTCATATGTACATATACAGATAACTAAAAAAGAATGGCGTGGTAGCACATGCCTTTAGTCCCAAGGTCAAGTTCAAGGTCAGCCTGGTCTACATAGTGAATTCCAGGACAGCTGGGGCTACAGGGAGACCCTGTTTCAAAAAGGAAAAAAAGAAAAAAAGAATGTCACAGTGTAGCCCTGAATGGCCTGGAACTCACTACGTAGACCAGGCTGGTCTTGAACTCAGAGATCCGCCTGCCCAAGTGCTGGGATTAAAGGTGACTACCACCATGCCAGTTCACAATAAACCTTTTTAAAATTTTGATTCTAAATCTTCTAGGACCAAGGTCTAAGCTTTCATCTTTTATAGAATTCCATGAAAACGGTGCCCCCCTCCCCCCGCATGCTGAGGGTATAGGAGAGACACATGGACCCAAGAGAGCTGCTGAGCAGCTTTTCAGCTCCCCAGGTCTAGTCCAGCTGCTGCAGACACATGTGCCTCAAAGTTGGGAGTTAGAGGAGGTCCCCTGGGTCTAAGCCCGCTCTTCTAGGAAAAGGCCTAGAGACACAAAAGACCTAGAGATGATGATCAGGAAAGAGAGCTATAGAGATAGCTTAGTGGTTAAGAGTGCTTGCTCTGCTTCAAAAGGACCGAGTTCAGTTCCCAGCATCCATGTGGGGAGCTTACAACTCTCTACAATTCCAGCTCCAGGGGCTCTGATGCCGCCTGTCCTCCACAGGCCTCACGCACACCACACATGAGGAATGTGCAGGTACACACATACATACAAATGGAAGGAAGGAAGGAAGGAAGGAAGGAAGGAAGGAAGGAAGGAAGGAAGGGAAGGAAGGAAGGAAAAAATAAATCTTTCAAAAATAGGGAAGGGGAGCTGGGCTAAGAGAGATGATTCCTTGGTTAAGAGCACTGGCTGCTCTTGCAGAGGACCCAGGTTCAGTTCGCAGCATCCATATGGTGGCCAACAACTGTCTATAACTCCAATTCCAGGGAGATCTGATGCCCCTTTCTGGCCTCTGTGGGCACTGAATGACAGGAGTGCATTTACATATATGCAGGCCATACTCTCATACACAGAAAATTTTTTTTAATTAATTAATTCATTAATGGGGATCTGGCTAGGCAGGGCCTGGTTATAGTAGCAGTAACTGTTACAAGTATTCTGGAGGGGTGCGCACAGACTCATGTAGCATTGTGTTTGTGTGTTGTGGGGAGGGGCTGACAGGGTCCACCTACCTGGTGCACACAGACATTGCATTTGTCACAGAAGACCATCTCATTGCCATCTTCACCCTCAGGGGAGCGGCACACATCACAGACAACATCCTCATCATACTCAATGCCCAGCCCCTCCTGTGTCTCGATGGCCCGTGCCATATTCTGGTGGCATAATGTCTCTAGCTCCTCCAAAACACGCTCTAATGTCAGTTCGTCCAGCTCTGGCCTCTCTGTGGGGAGACAGCAGGGGACATGGTTAGGAGTATAGGAGACATGGTTAAGAGTTCAGCAGCTTATAGTACCTGTGGTCCTGGGGCTGCAGCAATCATGGTAAAGGCTCCACCCATCCACAGTATGACCTGGGCCCCAGTTCCATCCAAGAGAACTGAATGGGCTGAGCTATTTAATCCCAAAGGCCCCTGCCCATCATCAAGGCTTCCCACTGTCCAAGGCCTGCACATGTGCATGCATAGACAATGTAGGGCATCTCTGGGGTAGGGGTGGCTTCCATGGGGAATCCATTGCTTGTACTGTGGTTGTGGTATAGGGGGACACTCTGAAAATGATCAAGTTGGGTTTTCCAGGGACATACTTTGGAGGCCCACACCTGTGGACCACCCCCCACTCCACTTGTATCCTCACTTTATATGACACTGACATTTACCCCAGCATTCCCAAGAGCCTCATGAATTATATGCTATTATCACCTCCACCTGACAGCTGCAGAAACTTCGAGAGGCAGAGAATGAAACACACACCAGTCTGTAAAGCTGTATGGATTTTCCCCAGACTCGGCCAGTGCCTTTCTGGAGGTGTGGATGCCACCAGGGGCTGGGAAGAAAACACTCCCTCATGTTGTAGCCACATTCCCAGCACAGAGGGTCACCTACCCATCTCTTTGAGCTCCGAGTTGAGGAGTTCCAGCCAGTAGGCGTCAATCTCATCCAGGTCATAGCGGCTTCCTCCTGGCCAGTCAGGATGGGAGCCTTCAACAAGTGTAGGGCTGTCTGGGGACACCTGTGTAGGGGGGCCTTCCAGTGGTGGGAGGATCCTGTGAAACCAAGAAGGGGTGTGGTAAAGAGAGGGGCCTCAGCCTGACCCCCTCAAGTCAGTTAAGATGAGGAGCCAGCGGCCCAGATGAGGTGAGACCCATGCCCTTTCCTCATATCCCCTCCTTCGACTTCTGATGACTGCGCATCTCCAAGACAGAAGACCCAAAGGGCTGGGAGGCAGAGGAAAGCTGGTGTGTGAATAAACAGTCGTCTTGGCCCTCAACATTTGCATGTACTCTGCCCAGCCAGGGTCTATCCTCTATCCTCCTGCCAAAGACACTGGACCTTGGCAAAAGCCCCTGACCTGGAGCAGCCATGCTTGGGCTGACAGTAGGTGCCAGCCACTTGGCGACGAATGAGATAGAGACAGCTGGAATCCAGGTCTTGTGGCATGCCCCTCCAGGCTGGGACCAACATCTGACCACATGCCTTCATAAGCCCTGGCCCCTCCTGCACCCACTGGCTGGAAGTGCCATGGTCTTGCACTGAAGCAAGGCTGCTTTGTTCTGGGGTCAGAAGCCCTACAGGACTCTCCCATGGCAGCCCTGGCTAGTCCTTTCCTGAATCAAAGTCTATTGCCCATGGGGACAGTGCTGGCCTCACACCTTGACCCTCCCACCCAGGGGGGGCCACAAGGGCAGCAAGTTTCTTATTGCTATTACTTGCCTCCCCAACTCCCCAAACCACTGCCTACTGTCTCAGATGACACCTCGGCTCAGCCCTCCCTCGGGGTTATGGCTCTGCTGTGCAATTTGGAATGACGCCGGCTGCAGGCACAGACCAATGGTCGCTGACTGCCTGTTTCCTCACGTCCCCGGTCCCCAAATGGTATACTAATAATAACAGTACCATCTGAGGTAGTTGGTGAGGATTTTGCTTTTAGCAAAATGCTGGGCACCACATAAACACCATGTAAGAAAAAGTAAGTGTGTGTGTGTGTGTGTGTGTGTGTGTGTGTGTATGGTCTAAGACCTCTAGATGTCAATCATTTTCCCCCTGAAAAATGGGAAATAAGGGGGCATTTTAAAGTCTTAGGAGGGTGGGGTCCTCTCCACACATCTGTGTGCTGACCCTCGGATCCTGAAGCCAGTTCAAGATGCCAGCCCTTCCCACACCCCACTGGTTGCCATGGTTACTGCCTGGAGCTTGGCTTCCATCTGGCCAGCACTGCCAGGCTTGAGAGGCCCCTCACTTGCCCGGGAGGCCTCCTGGGGTCGGACACAGGGCTGCCAAGGGCTGTGACTCAGCGCAGGCTGGGCAGAGGAGGGTAAGGTCCGAGATGGCACAGGGCCAGAGTTGAGCTGTAGGGAGTACCCCTGGCTTCAGGAAATGCCCCAGTGTCAGCAGGGGGCAGGAAGGATGCTGGGCACAGGGAGGCAGGGGTGCATGCAGGGTGAGGGAAAGGTCTTTAGGCCCAGAGGGAAGCTGGAAGGTACTAAGGACAAGGAGACAGGGAGAGGGTCAAGGTTATGGATCAGCACTACCATCCCATGAAAGGTTCTCAGGAGGGTATTAGGTGACCACCTCCACCAAAGAGATGACTGCAAACACAAGTCAACACAACACCTTCAGTCCACCAAAGTCTGCCTTTCCCAAGAAACTGCCACCTCAAATGAATACCTCGTCTAAAAGCACAGCCTGTAATTTTGTCACAATCTGGCTTTGTGTAGATCTTAAGCAAACACATTGCCAAGCTTCTGGCCACCCTGACGGAACAGTCACTGATTGGCTACCACTTTTCACATCTGCTTGCTTCATCAGTGCCCCTGGCTAGCCCTCTGGAGCCAAGATGGGTATCTTCCCTCTGGGGAGACAGGGCTGAGGGAGGCACATCAAAAAGGGCATTTCCTGGGGTTACTATCTTTGTCTGTGTGCCCCATCCTGGGTCCTGTTTCTGGAGGAAGCTCTCCTACTAGGTGTGGACTAACCTGCCTCTCAGCTAAGACCTCGCCCTCAGATATGACACAGTCACAGCTGGTGACAATATTTCAAGATATACAAGGGAGGGTGGACCCTCTACCCCAGAAGAGCACACAGACACCAGAGGTTGGTTTGACCTGGACCAAGTCTCAGGCAACAGCAAAAGCCTTCAGTGATAGATTATGAAGTGGGCAGGCCTGCCAGAAGGTCACTGAGGAGTGGGGCTGGGGCAGTATCTGGGGGAGAGTAGTCACAGCATGCCTATGCTCTGACTCTGGGCCTCACAGGGACAGCCCAGGGTTTGTTCCTGTGGCCTATCATTTCCTGGCCTAGCGGCACTCTAGGCCCCAGCGGCCCCACAGGAAATTCCCCAGAATTTCCTGACTTCCTCATCTATAAAATGGGGACAGTACTATGTACCCTAGGCAGAGGCAAAGTACGGCCACTATATGAAGGTGAGAAGCTCAGTGTGGCAGGCATGAACTCCTCCAATCCTTCTGCCCATGGTGGCTACCAAGGTGGCTTCCAGAGGAAGCTGTGCAGTGGAAAGACACCCAGGGAGGTGGCAGGGCTAGGCTGAGGAAATGGGGAAGGCATGATGAGCCACCTAAGGAGGACACCTTTTCCCAGCTCAGTCTATCCTCTCTACACCTTAGACAGGCTCTGAATGCCTAGAGCACATCTGTGCAGCTTACCTCTAAGAATGCTGGGTATGTAGCTCAGTGCTTGCTTAGCCCCGAGTTCAATTCCCCAAACCAGATAAACTAGGTGTGGTGGTAAATACCTTAGGGTCATCTTGGCTACACTTGTGAGTTTGAGACGAGTCTGGGATACATGAGACCCTGTCTCAAAAAAAGGATGCTGGAAATATATCTCAGGAAGCCAGGACAATGTGGCTTCTCTCCATGTTGATAGATAAAGCAGTTGATGTGCTGACTGAGGTCTAGCTACTGGTGAGGAAGCATATGCAACTAATTACCCATGCCCGTAGATGTTTCCAGAACCATCTGGTACTGACATTAAATAGAGAGGATAGACTGCTGGACAACTCCAATCAGGCCTCCCCTTACTGTTCAGTAGCTAGGCTGTCTCTCTATATCACCCTGGGCCTTGGCACATGTAGTGACAACTTGGCCTGAGAGTTCTTCTTTTTTTAAAAAAATATTTTATTCTTTTTATTTTGTGTATGAGTGTGTTGCCTGCATGTATGTGAGTGCATCCATGTCATGCAATGCTGCGGAGGTCAAAAGAGGGCTTTAGATTCCCCTGGAACTGGAGTTAAGGATGGTTCGCAGCCACCATGTGGGTGTTGGGAATTGAACCCAGGTCCTCTACAAGAGCAGTCAGTGATCTTAACCGCTGAGCCATCTCTCCAGCCCCAAGAATTCTTATTTAATCCTGACCCCGAAACTCTCAGATGGGTACTAGTTTAATGTTATCCGTTTAACAGAACAGCAGACTACCTCTGAGAAGTCAAGTCATGGTTCTTCTGATTGACAAGGTGAGGGTATGAAACAGGCTAGGAGCTTGGCCCAGGTTACTGACCCCAAAACAGGATACAGAGAGCAAGGCTGCATTCACCCATTTACCCACCCATCCACCCATCCACCCTACCCACCCATTCATCCACTCACCCACCCCAGCATCCACCCACCCACCCATCCATCCAGTCATCTAGTATGTGCTCCCACTTCTAGACCGGCCTGAGTTTCCCAATCTCAGACAGGCCCAGACAAATGCTGGTGGCAGTTGGCCCTCAGGAGTCACTGGACGAGGAAAGGCCCTCCCATATCCAGTCTTCGTAGCACACGTGGATGGGGCTGAGTCTTCCTTGCCTGCAATCTAGGCTCTCAGTATCTATGGGCCAGTCATTAATGTGGTTGTCAGGAAGCCCTGGCATCAACATGAAGGCAGGGGACAGCTGTGATACTTGCCCCAACCTTGGTGTACTTGGGCTCAAGCAAGAACCACAAGGCTGGGAAAAGGCTGGGAACCACTGGGAAAAGGCTGCCAGTAACATCAGCTGCCCAACTCAGTCAAGTTCCTGGGACAGGGAGGCCAGGTACCAGTGCCCTCAGGGTGCAGAAAGAACTCCTGACTGAATTCTGGAGCTGGAGGTAAGACCCACAGCACCTGGCTACATCCTAGCAAGAGTCTCTGCCCAGAATACCAGCAGGCTATGAAGCCCATGTGGATTCTGCTCTGACCCAGGCCTGGCAGGGCAGCGTCCTCAGAGCTGGCATCAGTTGGGTGCTTGGCACCAGGTCATCTCTCTAAGAACTTTAAAAGATCATTTCGGGGCTGGAAAGATGGCTCAGTGCTTAAGAGCACTGGCTGCTCTTGCAGAGGACCCAGGTTCGGTTCTTAGCACCCACATGGCAGCTAACAACCATCTATAACTCCAGTTCCAGGGAATCTGACACCCTCTGTGGACATTGCACAACATGGGTGCACTTATACACATGCAGGCAATACACTCATACACGTAAAATAAAAATAATAAAAAAATTTTTTTTAAAAAAGGGCCATTTAGAAGAACATCCTTCCGAACATGGCTTATTCCCACCACAAGAGATTGTGTAAAGTCTGGTGTTTTCCCTGATCAGATCTGCTTAATGTGTCTAACCCCAGTCAGTTCTGCAGTGTTTGCAATGTGCAGGCTCTGTCTGTGCAGGCTCCATGCCAAGCAAAAGGTATTGTTTACTACACCATCTCCAACCACACAAGGAAAATAATGCTATTACTCCCATTTTGGAAACAAGGAAACTAAGGCCAAGAGAGAGATCATTTCTGGCCCAAGATCTCATTGAAGGTGAGAGGCAATTTGGACCAGAGATCTGTCTTCAGAACTAAGCTTAAGCCCAAAGCCTCAAAAGTTACCTGTCAGTATTTCTGGACCAATGTTTTATCATTTTGTTCTGTTTTTTTTTTTTTTTTTTCTTTTCCGACAAGAGAATTAACCGCAAAACAGAGACAGGCTGGAAAGGAATCCCAGGTCAGATGGACCCACACCAGAAAGCAGCCTCCCCTTCAAGCCCTGCTTCAACAGTCCTATCTGGCCACCTGGCTCACCTCACTACAGGCTCTGGGATGGCCTCCGCTCCAGCAGGCACCTGCACACCTTTCTCCCATTCTTGACGCCATGGGTCTGCCAGGACATAGTAGTCATCCGGGCTGAGCTGGTATGAATCTGGTATCTTCATGGCTGTGATCAAGTCTGTCCGGAAAACCTAGAAGAGGTAAAAGAAGTGTCTCCACTTTGCTTCAGAGTGGTCTGCTCCACAGGCCAAGGGAGCTGGCAAGTAAATGCAACCCAAGTGGACTTTCTGCCTGTTCCCTCACAAGTAAGACAAAACTAAGTGCTAAAAACAGTAAGTTGCATGTGTGTAAGTGCACCCATGTCATGCAGTGCCCACAGAGGTCAGAAGAGGGTGTCAGATTCCCCTGAAATTGGAATTACAGATGGTTGTTAGTTGCCATGTGGGTGCCAAGAATCGAACCTGGGTCTGCTGCAAGCCAGTGCTCTTAACTGCTAAACCATCTCTCCAGCTCCCAATTTTACTTATTTAAAAAAAAATTTTATGTGTAAGTATTTTGCGTGCATTTAAGTGCATCTGTGTCATGCAATGCCTGCAGAAGCCAGAAGAGGGAGCCTGATCCCCTGGAACTGGAGTTACAGATGATTGTGAGCTGCCATGTGGGTACTTGGAATGGAACTCTGTCCCTCTGCAAAAGCAGCTGGTGCTCTTATCTGCTGAGACATCTCTCCAGCCCCAGTAATTTTTTTCATTGTTACAGGAACCAAAATACTCTCAGCACACAGTAAATGTTCCATACATCTTACAAATAGAATTCACATTATTCTGACTAATTAAAGGACAGAGATTTGAGAGACAGGTGTGACTGACTCTAAGAAAGAAGGGGAAAAATTTTCAAAGACAAAAGCAAAAACAACAACATAAAAAGAAAAAACCTGCTGGGCGTGGTGGCGCATGCCTGTAGTCCCAGCACTTGGGAGGCCGAGGCAGGCGATCTGTGAGTTTAAGGCTAGCCTGGCCTATTTACATAGTGAGTTCCAGGCCTGGTGGGCTACAGGGTATCCACAGGCACAAGAGTACATCTAAAGTCGTATAAAGCATGGGACCCCAAGAAGAGAAAACCTGGACCTGACAGAGTGGAGAAGCTAGGGCTTGGAGCAGCCTACTGAGTTGGGATCTCACAGTCCCTCAAGGTCAAGGACACTACAGGTCTTTCCCTTAGAACCCTTGACAGAGGACAGAGGAAGACAGTTGTCTTCCTTCCTCAACCCTATCCAAATTCAGATCAAAAAAAGCCAGGCGTAATGGCACATGCCTTCAGGAGGCAGAGGCAGGCTGGTCTCTCTGAGTTCAAGGCCAGCCTGGTCTACATAGAGAGTTCCGGACCAGTTGGGGCTACAGGAAGACCCTGTCTCAAAAAGACCAAAAAAGGGGCTGGAGAGATGGCTCAGTGGTTAAGAGTGTCCTTAACTCTAGTTCCAGGGGAATCCAAAGCCCTCTTCTGACCTCTGCAGCATTGCACAACACAGGTGCACTCACATATATGCAAGCAATACACTTATAAAATAAAAATAATAAAATATTTTTTTAAAAACGGCCAAAAACCTCAAAAACCCAACAACAAAAAACCCTATCCAAATCCCAAGAGTTATGAAGCCATACCTACTCTAGGGTTACTTCAGGCCATCCCAATCGCCACCTCCAAACAATGTTTTATTATTACTACTATTTTTAATTTTTATGATTTACTTATTTTTATGTGTATGAGTTATCACCTGCATGTATGTAAGTGCACCTGTGTCATGCAGTGCCCACAGAGGACAGAAAAGAGTGCTGGATCCCCTGCAACTGGAGTTACAGATGGTTGTTAGCCACCATGTGGGTGCTGGGATTCAAACCCAGGTTTTCTGCAAGAACAGCCAGTGTAACCGCTCAGCTCTCTCCAGTCCCAACTGTTTTTTTTATTTTTAAAAAATATTTCATTTAAGCCAGGCGTGGTGGCACAGGCCTTTAATCCCAGCACTCGGGAGGCAGGCGGATCTCTGTGAGTCCAAGGTCAGCCTGCTCTACATAGTGAGTTCCAGGGCAGCTGGGGCTACAGGGAGACCCTGGCAAAAGAAACAAACAAAAATATATAAATAAATAAAAATTATTTATTACCTTTATTTTATGTGTATGAATGTATTATCTGCATGCATGTAAGTGCACCTGTGCCATGCAATGCCTATGGAGGTCAAGAGGGCATCGGAATCCATGGAACTCAAGTTACAGAAGATTGTTAGCCGCCATGTGGGTGCTGAGAACCGAATGTGGATCCTCTGCAAGAGCTGCCAGTGCTTTTAACTGCTGAGCCATCCCTCCAGCCCCCGTCAGAACCACTTCTTAACCCATTCCCAGCAAACAATACAGCAAAGCCTCCAGCCCTTGTGCCCCACACTCCACAAAGTGCTGTGACAGAAGATGGTGGCACCCCTAGACACCATGTGACTTGTTCAAATACCACTTTTGCCAGTGATCATCACTTGAGAATCACAAGTTAAGGAAGAACTCCTATCAGTGAGACAGGGGGAAACCACTTCAAGGAATACTCCAGACCTCAGGCTCCACCTCCTACCCCAACCCTTCCTAGGAGTCCACATCCACTGCAGAAGTATGAGTCCTTGGGCTCAGTCCATTCATCTGGCCTTCTGAGGCACCTGAGAAGCCCACTCAGTTGTAATCCATTGCCTCCTGGGGCCAGCTCCTGGCTGTGTACCTCATGGAATCTAGGGCCACAGCCACAGGTAACGGCTCAATGGGTTCCAGTGGGCCTGGAAGCAGCGTCTTCCAGAATCTAATTAGTATCTACATCTAGCTTGAGAGGGCTATGACTTGAAAAAAGGTCAAGTTTCTTGAACACACTATTTGCCAATATAATTTAATTGTTAAGACTAACACCCTAACATTTAATTAGGGTACCAGTGTGAAAAAATAAAAATCAGATTACGATTAAATGCTAATTAAACTGAAGATGGAATGTGGCTAAGATTTCACAGCCCTGATAATTTGCATAACTTATTAGCAAGCTGCAAGAAAAGCTAATACAGGAGTACAAACCCAGGCACCTGGAGCTTTCCTGGGCCCTTCAGCAGCCTGCTGTATGCAGGTGACGGGCTTTCCCCACTGTGGCCTCTGGGGACTGTGTGGCCCAGCTGGTCTGGGACTGGGTGATTTCCTTAGGGGCTTCAGCACAGAATCTGATCAAACCAGGATCTGCATTGACCCAGGATGTGTCAGTGGCGGGACACGCCAGGCCATGGCTCTCTGATGCGACAGGGGTCTATGGAGCCCCTCTAAGGGGCATGGTAGTCAAATATATCCTTCTAGGAGCTTGTGGAGGTGGGGCACACCCTTAATGCCAGTGCTCAGGAGGCAGAGGGAAGAGTACTGTCTCAAGATTGAGGCCAGCCTGATCTATAAAATGAGTTCCAGGCCAGCCAGAACTACAGTCTTGGAGACTCTGTCTTAAAACAACAAAAAGGTTGGGGATGCAGCTAAACTGCTTTGCTAACATGCATAAAGCCCTGAGTTTGATCCCTAGCACCATCTACCATTGGGTATGGGAGCACATGCCTGTAATCCTACCAGTGGAGGCAGGAGGGTCAGGACTTCAAGGTCACCTGCCCCTAGAGAGTTCAGGGCTAGCCTGGGCTACATGAGACCCTGTCTCAAAACCAAAACCATCCTGCTGTTCCCTTCTCCTGGACTGTACCCCAAAGACCTTCACAGAGACCTTTCCTGCTCACCAGCTCAGGGGCTGCAAAGTACCTGATTCAGCCCAGCTCCACCGATGCCCACCTAGCCAGGTCCCTACCTCACTTTCTACTTCCTCCTGGAGATGGTCTGCTTTACTCTGTGTCGTTTCCTGTCCTCTCCCTGTCCTGTTGTCCTATGTATTCTCAGTGTCTGGCACTGAACACAAGGACCTTGCTGGGGAATGACCCCCTTAGCAGAATGTTTAGAACTCTTTTAACACGCAAAGTGAGATACAAAATGGAGACCCCAGAGGTTAAGACCCTCAACCACATGGACTTGCAAGAGCACTCTGAGAGACAAGCAGCTTATGTTCCTCGGGAATGACACCTGAGGTTGATTGCTGGCAATCACATGTGTACACACACACAGAGACAGTCTTCTACGCAGCTTATTAAGGTCGCTAACCAGTGAAGAAGGGTGTAACTCCATGCACTAAACAGGCTAACGAATTACTTATACCTGAAAGATTCAGTAAGAAAGATGCCTTGTGGCCAGTGAAGATCCCAAGCTGCGACTGGAGGGACCACAGTGCAGGGCCTACTAGCAAAGAACTGGCTGAGTCAGGACAAGGCCTATCCCAGAGTACTAAGAGCCAGGGACCCTGGGCTCCACCTGGGGTTCTTTTCTACTGTGGGCTAGGGAGACTCAGGGGAGGTAAGTGTGGTTCTAAGAGAGCTCTATTTTTGACCTAGGTCACTCAGAGAGCAGGTGATGGGACACTAGTTGTCCTTCTGGGCAGTACTCAGGGAAACTCAAAGGACAGCATTATTCCTATCAGTCACCACTCGGTGAGCACCATGTGACAAACAGGTAACTGTCTAAGAGCTGTGTTTAAGAAATTCTTTTTCAGCTGGGCGTGGTGGTACACATCTTTAATCTCAGCACTCAGGAGGCAAAGGCAGACAGATCTCTTGAGTTCAAGGCCACCTGGGTCTACATAGTGAGTTCCAGGCCAATGGGGGCTACAGGGAGACCCTGAAAGAAGTTCTTCTTTCATGCCTAGCAAGCATGAAGCCCTGGGTTCAGTCTCCAACACCACATAAAACTGAATGTGGTGGTGCTTATCTGTAATTAGTCACTCAAGAGGTGGAGATAGGAAGATTAGATGAAGTTCAAGGCTGGGTGGGGAGAGAGCAACACTGGGTGAAAATGCTTGTCATGTCAGACTGATGACCTGGGTTGACTCTTGGAACCCACAGTCAAAGGAGAGGACCAAGTCCCAAAAGTTTTCCTCTGACTTCCACATGCACACTTGTACTCACACAACATAGATACACACAGACAACACACATCATACAGATACACATGTACACATCATCCACATCCACATCATAAAGACACATACACAGGGTTCAAGGTCATCCTCAGTTACCTAGTGAATTGAGATCAGCCTGGTG